GAGGGGCGGGGAGGGGGGGGGGGGGGGGGGGGGGGTGGGGGGGGGGGGGGTGGTTGAGGTCAGTGAAGACAGAGGTTTAAGACAGAAAGACAGAGACAGAGAGAGAGGAACGACCAGACGTCAACCCAGCAGCCTGTGAGGAGGAAGAGGTGACCGAGGCTGTGTTCCAGGGAGCACAGAGAAACTCTATCCTCGACTAGAAATTAACTTTCATGAGCAGCGACTTTCTTCAGCTCCAGGTTTCAGCCATCAGCAAGAACAGGTTACTTTTACACATGTCTAGAACCTTCTGTGGATCCTGATAGAAACATGAAACGTTTTCCATCTGTTATAGAGTAAAACATAAAATCAAAGTTTTCTGTTTTAGAAATTAAATTAAACACAGCAACAGTCGTAAATCAAAGATGAGACGGTACATTCCAGAGTACGAACCCTCTCTTCCTACAAAAACGTTAGCGAAAATACATTATAATCTCAAGTCGGAGGAGGAGGACAAAGAAAGGGTTTTTTTTGGGGGGGTGGGGGGGTCATCTAGGAACTTGATTGTATTTTTTACACTGAAACCAATTTTCACATTATTAACACTTTCAAAAAGGTCAGACAAAATCCAAAGTGATTGTTTTTTTGAAGAAAAACTCAAGTGGGAGAAGAAGAAAACCTAGTATTAACAGAAGAACTTTCTACTCTTCGCTTCATCAGGAGTCACATAATCCAGCATAATATGCAGCATAATCCACACTGGGATTTCAGGGCGGTTTTAAAAACCAGTGCCCTTCAGGACAGAGCCCAGGGCCGGGAGTCTGGGTTAGAGGACTGAACTGAGTCACTACTGTATGGTGGGTGGGAATCTCACCACTGCACCACTGCACCACTGTCACCTTCCACAGGCTTTCATTAATACATTTGACCACTGTCATGGTTTGTAGGTGCATCAACATCAAAGACATGAAAGGTATATATAGTTAATAAAACTAATTTTCCCTCAAAATTAGTTTTCCAGAAAATTCCTATTCATACCATTTATTAGACAAAATCACAGGTCTAAAATGACCTGTTAACCAGTCAAAACACACTGAGCAGTAACTAAGTTGATTAATCCAGCAATTAAAAACAAAAACTGAAGGAAAACTAGAGCCCAAAGATAATGTCGTCTGTCTTACATTCTTTCAATGCTACACGTTTCTTTGTGCATTAAGCACTTACGTGGAGCGCAAATGAACCAGACGGCGGTGAAATGGCGATGTGGTGTCAACAGAATGTAAGGCGGGTCGAGTGCAGGTCGAGCAGAGACGCAGACGGAGGGAAATAAAGGGAGAACGCGGCGTTAATGTGAGGGAGCAGGAGATTAGATTAAATGGAAAGAATGGCAGATAATTGCGTTAATGCCGTTGCATTTGTCTGAAAGATACAGGTTGTTGTTATCATCAGCCGGTGCTGACGCTGCAGCAGCCTCCTGAGGACAGTCGGAGATGAAGGAGGGAAACTTGATAGTCTTTAACCGTGTCCTCTGTCTCCCTCTCACTGTGTGTGTGTGTGTGTGTGTGTATCTTTGCTCATTCACACAGCATTGGACAAGCTCAGCACCCAGCACCTCTACCACCCGACCCAGGTGGAGATCGTTCAGTCCAACGTGGTGTTCGACATCAGCAGCCTGATGCTGTACGGCACGCAGGCCGTTCCCGTGCGGCTGAAGATCCTCCTCGACCGCCTCTTCTCTGTGCTCAAACAAGAGGAGGTGCTGCACATCCTGCACGGCCTGGGCTGGACTCTGAGAGACTACGTCAGAGGCTACATACTTCAGGTCAGTGGTGGATTACACATGTAAACCCGGTGTCCACACTCATTACGACCTGGTGCGTTCACAACAAACTCGTCCGCTGTTTCCCTTGGCCCTGCGGTGATTCTGGAAAGTAAACACACTCTTGACCAGCTCAGCTACCATTGGTCATCTATTTCCTTCAACATTTCCCTGACATTAATTCTACTCCCGTCTGCCCCGTCTTCCTGCCCTGTCAACACTTTGCCCCTCTGTCGGAAAAAAAAAAAAAAGGTTAAAAAAATTAAATATTGTGAGGGGGTGGTGTGAGGTAAAAATGTCACGCCAGCAAACTCTAAACCACCGTAGCGCGTTTCCTCCCTCCGTCCTCGCGGCGCTCTCTCTCTCTCTCTCTCTCTCATATAATTGCAGTCAGACACATTTTTCAATCAAACGTACAGAGGTTTTCTGGTGTTGAAACCCAAACCAAAGTGTTCCTGAATGAATTAGTAAAGCACAAGTGAACATGTGTGTGTGGTTAACAGTTAACAGTGCCTACATGCGTGCGTGCACGTGTGTGTGTGAGTGTGTGTGTCTATCAGTATGTATATACAGTTAAGTGTTCCAAGGGTGTAAGTGGAACATCATGTTAAAGAGAAGGAGGTCCGTACGTGGAAACAGCTTCTGTGAGCAATGAACTTATTGATCTATTCCTGTAGAAGACCAGCACCCCACGACACACACACACACACACACACACACCGCTGCTTCCTATAACCTGGTCCTTGTTAAAAAACAATATATGGAGAGACACGATCTGGTGCGAACAGTATATTCTATCGAGACTTAAATTTATTTACAAACACCTTTTAAAAAAAATCTAATTTTTAAAAGATGTTGTTAGATTTTTGTAGTTTAGGTATAAATACAAAAATGTGCTTGAAAATATTAAATGCAATTTCAAATAATAACGCTTGAGTTTCTTTCGTGTTATTTTTTTATTGTATATTTATTTAAATAATAGTTACACCTGAGAAAATAATTAAATTAACACATTTCAGTAGCCAATGAATAGATTATAAAAACTGGTTAAAAAACATGGAGCAATTACAGATGTCTGTGGATTCATGTGACTGACACTAACAATGAAGCCTTAGGTAATGTTATGGTTAAACACAGTCGTTTAGTTAACTGTCGTGAAGAAGGAAATTATTCAAAAAATATTCACAGTGAAGATGTTTAAATCAGAATTCAGTGAGGAGATGACGTCGTCTAAAATGTGTCATTCAACTGTAATAATAATTATAATCATAATAATAATAATAATCATAATGTAGGTTAAATTGGGAATTTTTTTTTTTTTTTTTGGTAATTTGTTTCTGGTTTTGAGAAGTACTGGACTGTGTGATCTCGCAGTAATCCTAGAACTCCGCGCTCCACATGTGCAGTATTAAAACAGCTTTGTGTTAAGTAACCATAGGAGCACTGGTTCCCATCGCGGTAGCGATGTGTTTTTATCAGCTGGTTTTAATAGTCAGCTGTAGGGAACACTGTTGCTCAACTGCTCTCAGCCTCATGTCACGCTACTGGCTAAATCCTCCAGATCTCCTCAGCAGGTCTTCAAAGGGGCCGCGGCTGCAGAGGAGCGGCCAATCACTTAAGGACAATAAGTAGTCATTGTACAGCCCTATTAGCCTTTAAGTAACTATGAAATTCAATCATCTTGTGTGTGTGCCTCCGAGCACTGCTTTGTGTCAGGGTGTGTTTTCCAACAGTACACCACCCAGAAGAGAGATAAAATTAAAGAGCACAGCAGTGCATAGAGACACATGTACTTTTGGACTGATGTCACAGGGAACCAATGACTTTACTGTATTTCAATCACTTGATTTTAATTGCATATGTTAGCCTTGCATTTATATAAAAAAAAAACAACATACAGAAAAACTCAATTTTCCATCAGTTTTTTCTGTCACATGATGCACTGACACCAGTACCACCTCTAGTTTTTATCTGCCGCTCCTCAGATGCATGACCACTAAATGTATACAGTTTCAGAGGAAAGAAAACAAAGTTGTGTTTTACCCAAAACACAGCCACGTTTTAGTAGACAAACATTATATATATATATATATTTCAATATAGGTTATATATATAAAGATTAACATAAAGTACAGCAGCAAAAAGATGCTGTGATTTTACCCATAGTGCACCTTTCTAATGATGTTTTTGTCCTGTTTAGCCACGTTATATCATTAGCCTTCCTACAGCACAGAAAGACAGTCATGAAGGAAGATAAAGCAGATACACCGAGGATTTGCAGTGTGTGTGTGTGTGTGTGTGTGAGCTACGCTGATGTGTGTTTTCATATGCCATAATATTTGCTGCGTCCACCGGCACTGTAGCGTGCTCGGAGAGCAGGATTAGAGCTTCACCCAGACCCATCTGGTTTGACTCTTCTCCCGTGAGGATGTCTCAGATCCCTCTCTGTGCTCACCTGCGCCCCCACTGCACCACAAAGCTGGAGTCAGCCAAACACCGACAGAGTACGCCTTACTGCATATACATCGCCATGAGCAATCACTTCTGTAGTTTGCAGTCGTATCCGAGTCGTCCGTGTCACCGTCCTGCTTAGCCTCAACACTCGAGACGCCCCTGCAGGTTGGACTGGTGTACTTCAGAGCGTAGTGAGATGTTGACACAGATTCTCAGGTTAAATGTGCTAATCGATAAATGTGTGTAAACACCTGACACAATTCTTATTCATTTTATACACTCGTTCAAGTGAATAGATTTATCACTACACACTCGAGTCTCGCTGGCTTCTCACAGGTTGGACGTTTGAATAAAAAAGAAACTCCAACAGTATAAAGCAGTCGTTATGGACCGAGGGTCCCCAAACACCAGGTCCTGGACCAATACTGGGCCGTGGATCATTTGACACAGGGTCCCAAAGAAAAAAAATTAAGCTGTTTAAAATTATATGTATTTTATTATAATTAGTCTTTATTTATTATTTATTTTGAAAAATTGCCACTTCCTTCTGAGCTTCAATCCAGCTATAAGTCAGTAATTCATCCTCCCACTGATTTGGTATTGGTTAATTATTTAATTGTGACATTTTAAATTATAAATGTATTAATACCTATTACACTGTAATGTAACAGAAAGTGTAAAAATAAAATTGACAAATGTCAACACTCCTAATAAAAGTTAATAATAATAGAAAGAAAAGTTGATGAATGCATGTGGCTGATAAACTCATGCATATTCAGCAGCAGTTTCCGACCACGGCCAGTATGGACAGATGTTTCTGTCTGAACCTTTTTACAGTTTTATCTTTTGGAAAAAAAGGGAATCAATTCTTTTTGGGAAGTTCAGCCTTGACACATCCACAGCCTGTGTTGGCTGCACCGTCACTGCTCACATTTGACACCCAACCCAGTAGCCTGTTAACCTGATAGTTAGGAAATAGAGAGCCAGAGTGTTCCTAGTTGTTTTCAATTTCTGTATCTGTTCACGGACGTCAAATATGTCAACAGTATTTTAGCAAACACTCCTCAAATATTCTGAACCGTACCTCTGGTATCCTTTGACTCCTAATTAATCCAAGATAACGTGTGACCCAGACAGACAGAATACGTCCTTGCAGAACTCCCTGCACCTCATTTTGGCAGCACTTTTACCCTCCCCTTTTCCTATTCTCCCTCCCCTCCCCTCTCCTCCGGTTGTTTCCAGACACAGCCGTGGCCAGTGTACAACAGATGCCCCCCTGACTCCATCCTATCCCACAGCTTGTCACTGTTCACTCCTCTGTTTGAAATCAACAGATGGAATTGCAATCAGTCCTGGCTCCTCTGTCTCAGCCCTGTCTCCCACACTCTGCACCGTCTATTTTGTCTTCCTCTTTCTTATCCCTTACCAAGTGAAAAATAAGTAGCGAGGAGGGAAGGAGTGGAAAGAGATTGAGAGGGAACGATAGGCTGCAGGCTTTGCAGCCAACATGTGGGCCTAAGCCCAGGGTTTTCCTAAGCGACATTCTCAGTAATGTTCTGTCCTTGTAGAACATTGGGCTGCCTCCGCTTTTATGAGATGTGGTTTTCCTGACTCCACACTGCTTCCAGGAGAGCCAGATGGAACCGCTAAAAATCCTCATCACCACCACGCAACCACACACACACACACACACAGGCGCTGTGCACACAAACAGTCTTAACCATAATTGCTTACACACTTGGAGGAATTTCTTTTTCAAACTATCGTATACAGCCGCAGCTATCAAGCCGAGACACTGGGGTGTTGGTTTAACAGCTGATGCATCACTACATAGGTGCAGAGTTTATAAATCTGCAAAAATAAGATTTAACACTGTACTAATGCACACGTGTGCTCATTCAGGAAATGTTGTAGGTTGTTTTTTTTGTTTTTTTTTAATAATCTTAAATGCAGGAAGTATTTTTTTTTTGTCAGTCTTTGGGGGTTGCGTGCTCTTTTTCAAAAATAATGTGACTAATGTTGTACATGTGTACTTACACATATGGAATATGAGATGTAATTACATGGATTAGAGTCCAACAGTGTTTGTCTAAGACGGGAAACCATTTCCAGTTGCAGGTGGGTCCTGAGGCCTCAGTGAAAGTACCTTTTGGCTCCTCTCTAGTGGTTCACAGCGGTATTTATTAAGTTAGAGTCACATTTCAAAATTTCTGTCTTTTTTTTCCCCTCTTCTTTGACTCCCTCGCAGCACTCCCTTTCTCCATTTTCTGTCTCTCATTCTGTCAACTGTGAAGGTCACCGTATCTCCTGATCCTCGCTGAGAAACTTCCATTTTAGGCAGTCAGACTCAGTGCTACAGCATTTTTTGGACACAATCCCCTTCTCCTATCTCCTTCACGCAGCACACTTGTAACCTCTATTTTCCTTCTGTCCTCCCCTCCACCCTCCATCACCTTCCAGTGCCTCCCCTTTATCAGAACCTGTTTTCTGTTATCACTGCTTAATGTCTTACCCTGGGAGATGGACGGGGGAGAAAGCATTCTCCCGAG